GCCCTGACCCCAAACTGCAGCACTCTGAAATAACCCCAGGAAAAAAAAAAAAGATGTTTGCAAGAGGACAATATGTTGGAATACAGGTGTCCTGAAGGCTCTGTCTGAGCATTAAGTTGTAAGTGAACCTCAAAGTTACTACTCAAAAGCAGATGCTCCTAAACAACCTGCATGCTCCCTGTTTTTATATACAGTACATCAAGAGTTTTTTTCATTATTTCTGAGTGCATTACATACTGCTGGTTTGTCTTAAAGTGCCATACAGCAGCTACTACGTGACACTTCACAGAAGTATCTGGAGAAACATAAATGAACAGTGGCCTTAAAGTCTGCAATCACTTCTTTAAAGCAGTTATTTAGGTGAGTGAAACCTGCAAGCTGTAGATGAGCTGTAGCTGGTCTTACAACTTAGTACTTCAAGTAAAGGCTTGGAACAGATTCTCCCAGGGACATCACTAAAACACCCTTTATCTAATTTTGCAGTTTTAGGATGTGACAAGGTGTGACATAAGCATCACTGGAGTTCATCATATTCTGACCTATGGTCTGGTAGTTTTCAGTAGATGCAGACATAAGCCCTGAGGTCTTTTTTTCACAGCAGTGAAAACCTTGAGTTTTTTTTTTTTTTTTTTTCACAGCAGCTTCTGGAAAGCACAGCAGGAGCACTTCATCCCTGGAGCACCAACAGAGGCAAAAAACATTCCAAAGGCACTTGAGGAATTCAGGAGCTTCTCGGCTCTATTTAATCCATACTCACTAGAAACAACTCTTTAATCCTCTCTCTTTTCCAAGTTCATGCCCCTTATATCTTGGCAGGTAAGTATTTTTAACTCATGTGTTTGGCAGCAGAACTACTGCTTGAAAACTTTTAACAGAGCCATGATCTATAAAACATACTCTGTGAGAGAGATGGGTAACAGGACTACTGAATGCAGGATACACAGTCATATGAGGTCATGAAAAAAAAATACCTAACTTGTGCATTTGTAAGCAGAATTAACAAACTAATTTATTCAAATCCAAATTTACCTCAAACAAAGACATTTCCATATAGTTCTATGATCAAGTCATCTTACTCAACATATTTTAGAAGAAAACGTATTTATTTTACCTCCTGGTCATCTGTATTACTTGAGCACCGAAGAAGGGTAGCCCACCCTTTTGGATGTAGCTGTAGTGATGTAATGCAATTGCCTCGATCTCTTTCTCCGGGAACCTCTGGTGTTAACACCTCCAAACTATTTCTGGGTGATCCACCTAGAAAGGAAAGTCAACTGTATGCAGCTTCCCTCCCTTCTCCCTCTCATGCCTGGGAAGCTTCTCACAAGTAAATCAAGAGAAAGCATCCAGGCAACCCTCCTCCTTCTATAAGTATGTCTGAGGCCCTCAAAACCATGAGTAGTTTAACATAATTATTCTAAATCACATGCGATTCATAACATATTTAGTAATTTGCTAAATTTATGCTGACTCTGAAAGTGTATCCTAGGCTCAGAGGAAACCTGCTAATCACAGGATCACCAGTTTTCATAGTTCTGTAGTTAGGTAGGACTTAGTCTGTGGTTAGAACTTCACAAGACATTCTGTCCAGAGTCAAAACCTCTTCACATACTCTTTTAATGTGCTGTTGACTCCTCATGAGGAAACTGCAGATGCATATTCCCATCATTAAGAAAAACAAGCAAAACATAGCTATGTTCTGCTTTGGGTTCTTTTTGTGTTTTGTTTTGGTTGTTTTTGGGGTGGATTGGGAGGTAGTATGTGTTTTGTGGTTTTGTTTTGTTTTGTTGTTGTTTGTGGAGCTATCTGTGTTCCAACTCCCCAGGTCATTCACACAATCTTTGTTAGATGAAAAAGTACCGGAAAAAGGGAGAATCTCTATGTAACAACAATAATGTACTAATACAAAATAAAGATCTCACTGCTGTTACCACATTTCTTGGAAAAAAAAGTTATTAGATCCCTATTTTTTATTGGTTTAATAGAAGTTGTAGCAGCACTATTCTTTTAGAAGTCTCAGAGACAATACCACAGTTTTTCATTATTATACTGTACACTCCTCTGAGAACAAAGTCCATTTCTTTTTTTTTTCTTTTAATAATTTCCTACCTTCTCGCTGGGAGGACCGTGACATGTGTTTCTCAGACAGTGGACCTGAATCATTCTGGTGACATGGTGAACCAACGGCTCGAGGACCAGATGAACCTGATGATGATGTTATGTCTGCAAACAGCATGAGCCAGGTGAACTTAACAGGTAAGCACAGCTCACTCACTATGCAGGTCACTCATGTAACCCTCCTTAAAGTGAAGTAAACGGTAAGGGTACGGCACCTTCTGAAGGTGACCAGTTCAAAGCTCAGTTTATAGTCTAAAAGCACTACTCTGTTACTCTGTGCCTCATAAAAGTAAACTGTCAGGACAACAAGCCCTACCATGAATAACAGTCAAACTGTGTTCCTTCCCCCTCACGTGCTGTCACTACTAGAAGCTGGTGTATGGATTTGTTCCCAGGCCACTCCCTTTATATCCTGCCACCCCCAATGGCAGAGCTTCCGCCAGCATTTTGCTCTGTTACTGCCAAAAAGCAGGTAGAAGCAAGTAATGACATTTTAGAGCACACAATTATTCCAGGTCTACTGTCAAAAGAAACCACACCACTACACCACAGTCAGTTGCTGGAGCTCATGCAGTCAGCCCATTCAACATGGGTTAAATTCCTTTTATTATGGAACCAAGGACAGTAGATAAATAAAGCTAGAAACTGCCAGCTCCAGGTGACAAGTTTACACAGGTCCTTTAGATTTACATTCAGACTAGATATAAGGAAGAAACTGTTTAAAGCAAGGGTCACAAGACACTGGCCCAGGTTGCCCAGAGAGGTGGTAAATGCCCCATCCCTGGAAACATTCCAGGTGAAGTTGGACAGGGCTCTGAGCAACTTGCAGATGTCCCTACTCATGACGCAGTTTGGACTAGCTGGCATTTAAAGGTCCCTTGCAACTCAAACCATTCCAGGATTCTACAGCCTGTAGTGTTGAAGTCTTGACACCAAAACCCACCCTAGACACTTTACTCAAGTCAGAACATACCACTCAACAGTGCAGATGTATGGGACCCCTGAAGAGCAGAGCAGCTCCTATGCCCAAGAGATCCTCAGCAGAATCCTTCCAGCTCCACCTCTGCCTTCTTTCACTAGCTAAGAATATTCCATAAAACACCTCTACATAGAAGCTACCACAGAATTTTCCACAAGCATTCACCTGAGCTTGACGTAGTCCTCCTAGCTCTCAAAATTGGGTAGCTGCCAACCTCTAAAGACTTGTTTAGGTCAAGGTCATGCAAAATCAGAAGATATCCAGAGGAGGTTGAGATCAACATTTTGGAACAGTCTGGTGTCAGCCTCATGCGCATAAGAAAACGGGTGTGAAAAAACTTCTTGTGGGGACATCCATCTTCTGTGCACCTGCAGAGCAAAAAAATCACAAGAAATGACTGCAATTAGCTTCAGCTCAAGTCCCTGATAATGTCCAGAAGAGCCAAAGATCTGCTAGGCATCCTTCTTCATCCTAAAACCTTTTTTAAGTACTGACTTTATCCTGCTTTAATCAGATTTTAATGAAATGGCAAGAGTCACACTTTCATACTACCACAGCAATGAATACAGAAATTTTTCAAAAAAGAAGAATTAAATTTTGGCACATCAGCAAGAAAAGCTCTTTTTAGCTACTGGACTATTACCATACAAAGGTGATCCAAGTTCCTGTTGAGGGATATAAACTAAATATAGTATTTAAGAATGCACCGTTCAAGCATTTAAGCATATCACCAGTCAGGGAATATGTTTTCCATTGTGTACAGAGGAACCCTGTGTGTTCCACAAACAAAACAGCACAAACACAGCCACATACCTGTTTGTGTCCCAGATGATGACGTTTCCATCAAACCCTGATGTTACCAGTAACCTCGTATTGGTATCGTATTCAATGTTCTTTACCCAGCTGGTGTGACCGTGTAAAGTGCACACTTTTGTGTTCAGTTTTCTCAGATCCCAAAGTGCTATTGTAGTGTCATCAGAACAGGTTGCAAACAGTCGATTATCTAGAAATCTGAAAATTGGGGAGAAATACTGTAGCTGCCGAGTACCTTTTCTAATTTAAACACTCTTAAGCAGAAATTTAAGCTAATGCAGTTAAATAGATTTGCCACACATGTGAAAAACAAGATACAGCACAATACTTGCTGTCCTGGTTTGAGCTATAACAGAACTAATTCTGTTTAGTGATTTTACTTTTCAGCTCAGTCTCTTCTAACTAACTGCACTTTCTGAAATGAATGGCAGATTTTTGCAGACATTGTCTGCTTCTAGAAATGATAACGCTTGATGTTCAGAGTCACTAATGAGGGTTAGGGTTTGCAGAAAGGCTCTTGCTCAGACCTGCTACTCCGCAGACCATGGTCAGTGCTCAATCTTGTGCCCCTTGTTAGGGTGCAGTAATTAAGAGGTGGCACCTGTAGGAAGGAGCAGCCAGGACAGGTGAACCCAAGCTGACCAATTAGGGATTATATCCCATATATGTCATGTTCAATATGAAGCTGAGGGATCACGAGGATCCAGTCTGAGGAGGACTCTGTCCATTCTGCCTTCAATACTGAATCCAGCTCCTGAATCTGGTTCCCTTGTGCTGACAAGTCCAGCCTGGGACTTCCTCAGTGCTGGCTCCACAGCATCAGTGGTGATAGTGATGTCACTGCCATGAGGGGGTTAGGTTCAATACCGGTGTTGCATATATTTCATTTTGTTATTATTTTCATTAAAGCTATTTTAGTTTTCTTCTCCACTCCATAAGTCTCTCTCCTTTATTCCCTTTCTCTTCCCTTTAGGAAGGGAGAAGGGTTAAAATCTGTCATTTGTGCAACAACCAGTCCAGCCCTAAACCATAGCATCTGCCAACAAACCAGTTCCATCAAAAACCAGTAATGTTAGAATAAGAAATAGCAATACATCTGTAGTAGAAAAGTAGTAAGCCTGCAGGAACACAGCAGTTTTCTGAGGTGGTTTTTTTTGTGTGTGTGTGTGTTTTTTCAAATGAATCATGCAAAGATCACACAACCACTAAACCACCAGTGGAACAAATACTCAGCTTGGAACTTACCACACCTTTAGAAGACACAAACATCCTACAACTGGTCAGTTTTTAGACCACTGGCAAGATACTACCATTGACTGGTTTGGCAGACCCTGCAACACAGGTCTGCTCTCTTAGACTGTTTGTAATTTATGCCTTCCACGTTCCCCCATTTTTGCCAGATCCTTTTGCTACTACAGAAAGGCAGCACCAAGAAGACAGAGCAGTTCTACCTTCCTTTCAGACTACTTAAGATCTTCTCACCTCATAAATAAACATATGCTCTTTCTTTACTCTCTTAATTTCCACCCACATATCCACCATTGTTCTTCCCCTACTATTCTGTACATCTTCCTCTCTCTTCCACTGCAGACATAAGCTCCCTGCACTCAAAGGAGGTTTTTACAAGATCACCTTTTGTTACTCCTACTGGAAGCCCCCTGCTTTCACTTGTTGCTGCTGGGCATGGTGCACGTGTCTGCTGTCCAAGACCCCTTTAGCCAACAGTAGAAGGCCTCCCCTTCCACACTGCCTGATACTGCTCCATACACATATGGTCACAGCATCTGATGCTGTCAGTCCAGACCAAAAGCTATCATATCTTAACTCCACAGAACACAGTGCTCATCACAAAGCCCGTTGCAGGAGTCAATCAATGGGGACCTACTTTCCAAAACACTCTGCCTAGCCAGCCCGGCGTGGACTGTGGTGGAGCCACCAGCGATAAAACACTCAGCGCCAGGCTAGCAGGGTGCTGGGGAGACAAATCAAAACCTGCTCTTATCAGAGGCTGTCACAGGCAATGGATCTCCAGAAGCCCTTTCCAATCAGATCTCCTGCCACCCTATAACATGGCCACAGCTCTGCACATACACACAGCATGTCTGCACCAAGCACGCTGAAAAGCTGGCCCCATACTTTTACACAGGACACACAGTGGTGCTTTTCTGATAGATTTAATCCAGTGGATTAACTGTCCAATGTATGGCTTGCTTCACTAACCATGTCTTACACTGCACAGTACCACTATCTTGGACACGTACTAGATGTGAATCTGAACACTGCCACTGTTTGCACATTTCCCTAGACCCTTAATTTCATTCCACTATTGCCCATCTTTTGTTTCAGAGCCTATTCAGGAGCACTGCTTGCTGCAGCTGTGGATCCAGGAGGAACCATGTAGACTCTTGCATCCAGGAAGGTTTCATACCACCTGGACAGTCTCAACAGTCTTCATCAAAAAGCAAGGGGCTTTTGCTCCCACACTGCTGCCTCTCCTTTCCCCACAGCACAGTTCACTCCTTTGAATCAGGTACATGAAGCTGAGCTTTTCAAATGCACAAAAGCAGGTACGCTATCAAAGTTCAAGTGCAGAGCACTGTTTAGGATGAGAATTTCATATCATCTCTGGAAGCAGCAGCTGCCCCAGTGGCACAGGCTACCCAAATTCATGGACTTCAATATTATGTGCCCTCGAGATCTGAATGGTTTTGCTGCAAGAAGAGAGAGTACTGCTCTGTACTTCACAAGGTTTTCACAAACCTGCATTTCTACAGTGCATTTCCATGCAGCAGTAAATTTCTATCAAATGTGAAGTGCACCCCACATGCACTGTGTATGTTCTACACTTAACACATCTTGAGTTCCTGCTGTCTGAACAGGTGATTGGCTTGTCAGTAATGTCATTCTTGGAGAAAATAAGAAAGCAGAAAAGAACTTAGGTCATACTAGTTGGATCACTGCACTGATTAGGTTAAGTACTTGGCCTGTTGTCATGGTTTGGGGTCAGGACTGCCCCCAGACCTGGTTAACAGATGCTCTCTTTTAAACCCCCTTCCCTCGCCCCAAAAGGGGAAAGAGAAAGTGAATAAGGGAGAGAAACTTACCAATTAGAAAAGTGAAAAAGCTTTAATGCTACTACTACTTCTGCTAATAGTAATAATGATGTTAATAAAATGGAGTATGTACAAATATATACAAAATCAGTATGAAACTCAGCTCCCCCCTCCAATGGCAATACGTCACCATCACCCTGCTGGGAAGCAGGCCCCAGGGTGGACTCAGCCACAGAGGGAAACTGCTGCAGGAGCTAGATTCTGGCCCTGGGCTCAGGAACACAGGGCTCAGGATCAAAGGCAGAGCGGATGAAGTCCTCCTTGTATGCTGGCCGCTGCAGAAGCAGCAAAAGCATGGAAGAAGGTGGAATGGAGGCAGAAGGGGCTTGACCCTTGTGATCTTTCATCTGCTATACTGAATATGACAGATATGGGATGGACTACCCCACTGGGGAATTTTAGGGTCACTTACCTTGTCCACTCCTATCTGCAGGTATGGCTTTACTTTCTGCCCCTCTCTGTGTGGTATACAAGCTTTAGCAGTGACCCTGGTCTGCATACCAATCCCTGCTAGTAACTCTAAACATGGAGCGTTATCACTGCTAGAAGCAGTCTACGAAAATACGCTTCTAACATCAGACAATGCAGTTAATTAGAAGAGCTTTAGCTGAAAAGTAAAATCCTTGAACAGACACGGCTCTGCTCCACCCCAAGCCAGGACACCTGTTCATGGTGTAATTCTTTATCATGATAATATCTGGTATTTAGCCAGAATTTTGTGTATAATTCATGTCTAAAGTAGTATGAGGCAGCTTGACCATTGTTCAAGTGATTACAGAAGGAAAGAATATCTGATGTAAAACCACTCCATTAGACATAAGGGGATAGAAGTGCTGGAATCAGGCATACCTAGGTAATAAATAATTTGAGGTTACTGATATAGATGTAAGACTTTTCAAAACCACCAAGTGAATATAAAACTGTTTGAAAGTGTACTTAAACAAGTTATTTGGTTCACTGAGAAAATCACTTATTAAAATTAATTAGTTTGCATTACACAGGTTGAAGTCTATCATACTCCACTCCCATTGCAATTTATGCAAGCCCTTACTTTTAGAGGGGCAAAGCATACTGTTTTGTGTTTGGAATTCAAGCCTGGTCAAGGCATTTGGAAAAAAAAAAAAAAAGCCTTATCTGACAGAAAAGAGAAAATAAAACCAATCTGAAAGACACCAGAAGTAGCTGCACATAAATAGTAAGGCAAGAACATGTTACACAGATATATGTGGTAAGTTGCTCCTAGAAACAGCATTTTCTCTCTTAGACTCAGAACTAGGCTACATCATGTAAAAACAGCAAGCACCCCAAGGAAAAATAACCAGTTACAATGGGAAGAATACAACATTTCAGGTATTTAGGGCAAAAATAAAACAGAGTATACCCTCTTGCTGGTATAAATCCACCATTTGCCTTTACCTGGGAATCTACAGGTAAACCTACTGCATCCACTTCTGAGCTTTCAGAAGAAAGAAGCAGGGAAACATAAATGGTATTGAATAGCTTTCATGTACAGAATGGCCAAGTAGACTAGGATTCACTTGAAAAACAGCTAAATAAAGGTGCATATGACTCAGTCATATAAAACGGACTGATGCAGAGAAAGTAAATAAGAGATTCATTGTTCCTTATCTTTCTGCTTAAGAAAGAAAAAAAAAAGCGCCCTAGAATGGCCGCAAACTAATCTAGCGAGTTTTAAAAACACTGTTAAATACTCCTTGAAATACATTTGTGCCATGGAGCTCTGCCATGGCAGAGTTTTAAGTAACCTCAAAACTTGACCAAATTCAGGTGGAAAAAATCTGCCTGCTTCAGATGACACAGATCCCCAGCAACTGGAAGCCTCTGGAAGAGGATCTCTGCTTCCCTGGTCACAAATACCTCTGAGGCACATGCTACAGGGAACAGCTGTAATAGCACTTATTTTTTGTGCTTATTACAAGCGATTTCTGTAGTACTATAGTACCTGGAGTTCCACTCATTAAGTAGAAACAACACTCCAGCTAATGCTGTACTGACCATGTATTGCAGAATATAGTTGAGTTCACTGTAACTAAACTGAACACAACAAATGAGAACATGGAGGAAAATGCAGAAAAAAATGCCAATATTGTACAAAACCAAAATAAAGCTTTAAGAAGCATTTCAAAGGAAAGCAGAAAGTTTACTAAATTTTTCTAGGAAGGACCTTAGTTTAGCAACTAACAGATTATAAAGTTGTCTGCTTGGAGGTAGTACTAGTATTTTTATGTAAATCAAACTACACAGATAAAAGACATTTAAGGATTAAGAACCAGCTTACAAAGACTCACAGACAGGCAAAGCAGAAAGAAAGGAGATCCTCTGAATAAGAGAAGAGAGTGGCAGGAAGTTTCACTGCTGTTCTCAACCAAGGAATGAGATACATTTTCAAGACCAGCAGAGCTGACTGCAACAGAGACAGTCCAATGATCAAGGAGCCTGCAACAGAACCCTCTCTGCAAAACATAACCTAGACTAATTCATGTGAAACCCTGGCGAGAGCAGTTTGAATGTAAGGACCAGATACTGAATCAGGGATGTATAAAAATCAAAATAAATCTGGTTTACCAGGGCCCTTCGGTATCTTAGTAACATGGCTTTATTTCTCACCTAGCTTCATCTAAAAACTAGGCATGTTTAAAGGACAATCACTGACTGGCATGCAACACATGTGAAAAGCTGTATTTCTGTAAGAAAAGCATGTTCTCAACATCTCTTCTACTTGCATCAGCTAGCCCCAGATGATAATACTTTAACACTCTTCCCCTCCCATACACCACAGATCCTCCATCAATAAAACCACCTGCCAGCATTATAAGCCACTACCACCTAAGATTTCTCCTCTTCCCCTTTCCATCCTTTCCTCACTTCCAACACCAAAGAGAAGGAAAATGGCACAAAGCAAACTGCAGCCTAATGGCTTCACAAAACCTGCTCCAAGAAAGTGCATTAACACAAACTCATCACACCAGTGTAAGGAAAGCTACTGTATGTATTTCATCTACTGTAAGATGAAATACTTCTTCTGACCTACCTGATATTATTTACACAGTCTTCATGAGCTTCAGAGAGAGTTTTGATGTGCTTTGAAGATATTGGGTCAAAAAGCAGTACTTCAGTCTGTTCACAAGCAACAGTCAACACTGACCTGCAGAGAAGCAAAGCAGAAACATTCATATTTGGCAAAGACAAGTCATCTGTGTGCACCTAGATCACTTTCACTCCTTAACCCCAGAGAAGCGTCGCTTCCCCATTAATTAGCTTGGCTTTCTGTCCACGCTGTGCAGAACCTGCAGCAGTGTTTGTATTTTTTCACTCCCTTCCTGCAGATGCCTATTCTCAACCACACAATACACAAAACATGAAGAAGAGTATGTTGTTTCCTTCTGGAGAAGTTAACTTCTCTGCCTCCTTTGTGAGAGACCCAAACTCCTCTCTTGCCTTGCTGTCAGCATAATTAACACATAGCCAGTGCATTTATTGCACAAAGCACACGAACTCTTAATTAACTTTTTTTTTTTTTTTTTAACACACAAGGTGGTTTTCTTGTAACTGCTATGTACTTCCTAGATCCAATTACGGCATCATTTAAATCACACCGTTAAGTGCATTTACATCCGTGCGATTTGTCCCATCACTGCAGTGCAGTGCATGAACTCAGTGCTTCCTGTTGTGCCTAGGATAAAAGGGGAATCAAGCTCTGGCATGAAACCTGCTGCTTTGTTCACATGTGAGTATTTGCTTAATGTTGCAGGAAAGATTAAAAAAGAAGCTTGCAAGAGAAAGAGGAAAGGCATCTACTCTGAAATTCTACTGCAAACTTCCCATATGACTGTGTCCACATCATGGTATCCCTCTGTCCATTCATTGGCAACGTTTCTTTGGAGGTTCTGAGACACTGTAGTTTGCTTTTCAGGGTGTCATCTGAAGAGCTCTGTAAAATGCACAGGTCTAACAGCCTGTACTGAATGCTGACAGCCTGCTCACAGGTGTGCACCCACCAACCAGCTGCAAGGCAACTTCAAGTAACTGACCCTGTCAGTGCATAATGCCTGGAAACAGCCTCCCCAAGTCCCTTTCCCTTACCAACTACAACAACATTCCTCTAAGACCATTACAGATGTGACCCCACTACACCACCACTACCCTAACTACACCCCCATTATCCCAGCTACACCACCACTTCTCAACTGGTGGCCAGTGCTTTAGTGCAACCACCAACTTCTTCAGGGTAAAGATGTCCCATTTCCTCATCTCCTTCCACAACACTGACTTCAATGGCTATGTAGCCTGCCATCCACCCTAGAATGGCATAAAGATCACATTCAGACTGTGCGTTCAGGAGCAGAATTTCTAAATCAAACTCTAAAGGAGAGCACCCTTCCCCAACAACCCTACTACTCAAGCAGTGCTGCTGACTGGCTGCATTTTTCTACACCAGGATAGCAAGAAGGCAGTAAATGCTAAAGGCAAAATTAAGACTGATTCAAAGGTTTATTTAAAATATCTAAACTCTCTACAAATGAGTCATCTTTTCACTAAAACCTTACGTTTGTAAAGCTTAGATTCAAAGCTTTTATTTTTTACAATAGCAAGAAGTCAGGAGATTGCTATCAGACATCATGTGCTATTAACTACAAAGAGTTCTCTGACAAAAGGTGTTTCCTAGGTGCAGTAGTGTTGTTATGGAAGTGATGGCCACAGGCAGGAACAGCAAGGCACTGGAACCAGTATGAACTGAGAGAATAGGCTGGGGATGCAGCTGTTACCTATGTCTTGAGACTAACTTCACAACAGATCATAGAATCATAGAATGTCT